TTGAAGATTTTTTTTTATTTTTTATTTTTTTTTTTTTACACTTGGTTTGCAATTATTTGGATTTTTTTTAGCTTAGTTGTAGAGCAGAGGTATATAAGATATTTGGGGAAATTATTTTTGAAAAGGATAATTATATATATATATATATATATTATAATATATATATATATATATATATATATATATATGCATGTATATATATGTATGTATATACAGTGCATGTAATTTTAGCAATTAAGATTCATTTTAAAGGTAAAAATACTTTTCAGTATTTCTGTTATTTATGTAACCAAGACTTATTAGTGTCAGAACATAGATCGTTATAATAAGTTTTAAGAGAGTTTATTTAGCACTATTTCTAATTTAATTTCCCTTTCATTTGAAATGATTTTCCTTTATATCTAGTAATCACAAATGTATTTATTCTATAAAGTACGAAAAAATAAATCAGCATATACTTTCCTTATCAATTTTGCATAAAATTGTAGAGAAGGTTCTTAATTCTCTCTCTCTCTCTCTCTCTCTCTCTTCTCTCTCTCTCCTCTCTCTCTTCTCTCTCTCTCTCTCTCTCTCTCTCTCTCTCTCTCTCTCTAACGAAAAAAGTGAAAAGGTAGTAGTCATTTTTCGAAACTTTGTATTTTATTCTACATGTAGAAAGGTATGAATGAGAATGAATATCTTCACAATACAAGACATGTATTTGACCGGCTTCGAATACATCTTCATCCGAAATACATGATGATATTCATGTATTTCTGACGAAGATATATTCGAAGCCGGTCAAATACATCTCTTGTATTGTGAAGATATTCTTCTCATTCATACCTTTCTACATTTATCAACATGAATACGGTTCATTTACTCTACATGTTTGGTATTGAAATAATGTATCCTTTCTTACGTATCAATCTTGCTTTATAGTTAGTAAATAACGAGCAGTAAACTTTAATTTAGATGATATACTTGTAACTACATCTTATAGTTCCTGTATCTGTTTTTTGTTCTGTTTTTTGTTATTTTTGCTGTTATTGTTATTGTTGTAGAAGTGTTGTTTTAATTTATTTATGTATATATCTGTAAATAAACTAACCTCAAATGGGTTAACTGGCATCTCAAAATCCTACAAATTATTATTTTTAATATATATAATTTTATATCTCTCTTTATTGGATAATAATGTGATTGAAAATAACAATAATAATAGTAGTAGTAATAGTAATGATGATAATGATAATAATGATGAAGAATGATAATAATAATGATAATAAAAATGATGATGATGATGATGATGATTATAGTCATGATGATGATGATGATGGTAGTAATGATGATAATGATGATGATAATAATAATGACGATGATGATGATGGTAATGATAATGATGATAATAATGATAATAATGGTAATGCTAAAAATCATGACATATCAAGCCAAATATCTCGATTACATAATAATATGTTTAATCCAGTGAAATTCATCTATGATAGTAAGATTTCAAAATGAAGAGAAAGTTCATGATTATCCATATATTGGGATAAATTCAGTTTTCTCTCTCTCTCTCTCTCTCTCTCTCCCTCTCTCTCTCTCTCTCTCTCTCTCTCTCTCTCTCTCTCTCTCTCTCTCTCTCTCTCTCTCTCTCTCTCTCTCTCTCTCTGTATATATATATATATATATATATATATATATATATTATATATAAATATATATATATATATATATATATATATATATATATATATATATATATAATATGTATGTATGTATGTGTGTATGCATGTGTATGTATGTATTGTATGTATGTATATATATATGTTTATAATATATGTATATGAATATATCTGTATGTATTATATATTATATATATATATATTATATATATATATATATATATATATATATATATATATATATACCTACTTACCTAATTTGTCTAACCATCTACCTATTCATCTATCAATCTCTCTTACTATTCTTCCTTCAAACCATCCTTTATTTCAATTTTTATTTTTCAACCTCCTACTGCTTCCTTTCTTTCTCTCTATTATCCTTCTTATCCTCTTATCCTGTCTTTCGTCTATATTTTTATCTTTACCTTATTATCTCAANCAGTCGATGCCTCCGTAAGTCGATGCCTCATACACCTCATGGACGTCAGATAGAAAAATAAAAAATGGGCGTGACCAAAATGTTAAAAAATAATAACAACAACTAACTGAAAAAAAACGTGACTTAGCGGGTGGGAGATGAAAATGAGTATTAAAGGTAACAAAAAAGTAAAGAAAGAAAAAGAAGAAAAAAAAAAAAGCGTGATAGAAATAAAAGAAACTAAGAGAGGAAAATAAGAAAAGAAAAATGGCAACATGCTGGAAAGGAAACGAGAAAAGTGGGTGTGGCAATGAAATAAAAAGAGAATGAAAATATTAAAATCCAAAACCAAGAACTAGATCACAGCACACACACACACAACACACACACACACACACACACATACACACACACACACACACACACAGCGCACACACACACGCACACACACACGCAACACACACACAGCGCACACACACACGCACGCACACACAACACACACACACACACACACACACACACACACACACACACACACACACACACACTCACACACACACACACACACACACACGAAAAGAAAAATCCGACCTGGTTCACATTCCATCGCTTAACAACCGTATTACCTCAACACTTACCCACCCCTCCCCCTCCACCCACACACATACCCCACAAATCCAAGAGGGGAGGGGAGGGGGGTGCCAAGACGCCCTTAGGACCACCGACTCACCCCCCCCCCCTTCTATCTTCCCCCACTGCCCCCTCCCCCCCTTAACGCCTCCTCCCCACCTCGGGCTTTGGGTCATACCTTTGCCCCTGGGCACGGGGGGGGGGGGGGGCACGCTTTTGTCCTGCAGTTAGGCCTAGGTTGTCGCGGCAAGTTGGTCGATTTTCCAGTTGTTATATACGCACCATTTCCTCAATAACTGCTAATTTGCTGATCTCCATTATCTTTACGCCCGTGTAACCACTTCCTTTCTCATCTTCTCGTTCCATATCCAGATAAGGAATGAGAGATGAGAGAGGAAGTGGCATATTTCCTTTTTCATCTAATCTTTCCTTCATCTTCATTCTGGATTTTTTTTCACTCATCCTCCCCTCTTTCTTTTCATCTCATTCTGGAATTTTTTCACTCATCCTCCCCTCTCTCTTTTCTTCTGCTTCATCCTAATGTCTTCCTTTTCTTTTGTGTCCTTGCACATTCACCTCTCAACACTTTCTTCCTTCTTTCTATCTCTCCTCAATATTTACTTCAGCATCCTGTCTCCTCATTTTTCCATTCTCCCTCATACTCGGCTCTCAAAGTTACTCATTCCTACAACCCTTCACTCATACTTAACCTCGAATATGATTACATTACTCATTTTCTCTAAATTTATATTATATATTTTTTTCTTTTTCTTTCTTTTTTTTGTTTGTTTTTATCTTTCCTTTCATTCCAACATCTCTATTTTTTTCTATTCACCATCATATCTACCGCTCAATAATATCCCATCTTTTCTACCATTTCTTAATATTCATCTAAATCCCTTTTCAGGTCAATTTTCCCCTTCATATTCATCCTCCAATAAAAAAAAAAAACGCAAAAAAAGACACGAGAAGATATATACCCAATGATATTAAACAATGCACTCGACAAGCAAAAAACAAACAAACAAAAAAACATCAAACCACACAATAATAAAACAATGCAATGACGCACACAAAAAATACACAATCACAACATTAAAATACAATAACGTCATCGCATCACACGTGACGAATCGTCGACTTCAACCATCCACCTCCCTCTCCCTCACTCCCCTCTCTCCACGCACTCTCCTCTCCTCCCCGCCTCTCTCCTTCAACCTCTCTGCTCTCCTCTCTCTCTCCCCGCATACCTCTCCTCTCTCTCTCTCTCCCTCTTCTCCCCTCTCAACGCTCCTCTCCTCTCTCCCCGCATACCTCTCCTCTTCTCTCTCTCTCTCCCTCTCCTCCCTCTCCCCTCCTCCCGCGCACCTCCTCTCCTCTCCTCTCCCCCGCATCCGCTCTCCTCATACCTTCTCCTCTCTTCTCTCTCTCTCCTCTCTCCTCTCTCCCTCGCATACCTCCTCTCTACTCTCCTTTTCTCTCTCCCCTCCTCCTCTCCTATCCCACGACACCTCCTCTACCTCTCTCTCTCTCTCCCCTCTCTCCTCCTCTCCCCGCATTCCTCCTCTCCTCTCTTTCTCTCTCCCCTCTCACCCTCCCCCCTCTCCTACTCTCCCCACACACCGTCCTCTCCTACCTTACCTCTCCCCTCTCACCTCTGCTCTCCCACCCACCTCCTCCTCTCCCCTTCTCCCTTCTCACCTCCTCCCCATCCTCTTTCTCTCCCATCACACCAACTCTCCTCTCTTCCCTCTCCCCACACCCACCATGCCGTCCTCGGCTACCCTCTCCCCCTTCACTGCACCCCACCTCCCACCCCTCCCCTCCCCCAAACCCTCGGAACCTCTTAATCATTCGTGAAATCAAATCGATGATTGCGTTATTATTACCGACAGGCTCCTCGCAGAAAATAACCCCCCTCCCTCCCTCCCCTTCCCCGCCTTTCACACACGACACGAGGTCAACGCGAGATTCCAACAATAGGTCAGATTATGCCAGGCCGATTCGGAGATTGACCTCGCCTGTCGACGCATCCAACCACTGAAAAAAGGAAAGGGGAAATAGGGAAAAAGCGAGGGAGAAACGAAGGGAGGGGAGAGTGAAGAAAGGAGGCGAAAGGAAGAGAGAAGGAAAGGATAGGAAAGGGAAGGGAGAGGGGAGAGGAAAAGGGAGCGGAAGGAGGGAGAGGGAAGAAAAGGATAGGAAAGGAAGGCAAGCGAAGGAGAGGGAAAGGGAAAGGAGGGAAAAGAGAGGAAGAAGAGGGGGAGAATAAGGCATAAGCGAAG